TTTATATTTGTGCAGCCCTGATTTTTGTAATAAAAATGGGAATTTTTTCCCTAGAGCCTCAAAACGTTTGGGTGTGGTTTCATATTTTTGAATTGATTTTTGATGGATTTTCTAGGTGTGTCTAAAGTTAGCAGAGCCCACCTTTTTGGGGAGTCCAAAATAGCCTAACATTCGGGGATAGAGCATTCAATTAGCCTCAAATTAGTCTGCGACTTTTGATATATTTGGTTGAAATTAGTTTTTGAGTGCTCCTAGCTCTAGATGGTTTTTTATTTCAGTGAAAGAGAATGGGAAAGAATCACAAGCAAAAGCGGCTTATATTGAGCATCTCGAATGAACCACACGACTTTTTCAAGATTGGTTTCCGCATCAAAAGGTCAGCTTTTCAAAGTTCGCTGAATTAAGACAGAAACACTGCATTTTACCATGAGCTAACGGTACACATAGTGTTTGTGCATACCACGAAAACGTTAAGTTCATTTTTGACGGAGGAGGCCTCGCAAAGTTAACAGCAATGATGTTAATGCATTGACGGATTATCGTAACTACCTAAAAACGATATTTGTGACCTTGCAAGAGCTTAGTGTTACTTTAAAAAGAGTGTGAAATGTCCTGAAAAAGAAATACAAAAATGTTGCAGGAAACGAATGATTGGCAGCGTGACGTATCGGCATTGGATACACGTTGACAATGATGTACTATATGCTAATGTTTTGATAGTACTTTGTATATAAAATTACACTTTCTGACATGTGATTTTAAATTAAATGGACAATGTTTTCAAGTAGACGTCTTTTGCAACCATTGTCTTTGAGGAAGGTGATCTTTATGGTGCCAAATGATCTCACTTTCAAATTAATATTTATAAAATGTTGAATAATAATACAAATAAATATAGTTATTTGGGCTAGATGCATCTTATTGACCACACCTTCAAATTTCACCCTTCCGGAAGTTGCCTTACTGCTTTCCCCATTTGAAATTAAGGGTAAATTAAAAGGTTTAACATTATCTACAATGCAATTCTATTAAACTTTTTTTATAATTCCTAATTTATATTGCAATAAAAAACAAACATGATTTTAACCCCAGGTTAACATGTGGAATATTGGTAAATTAAATGGAATTATTTAACTGAAATTATCAAAATTCACGATAAATGACACGATATTTACAATTGTACAGCTTTGAAATCTATAAAGAATTTTTTAATTTTCTATTATAATACTGCTCAAATTGTTCTGAAACAAAGTCCGCAATTAAAGACATGTCCAGGAAAATCCTTATTAAATCCCTCTCCATTCTTAACAACAAAAGGCTTTTGAATACATAACAAGCATTCATTAATTCTGAGGGTTTCTGGATATAGATGACACTAGTAGGTATGGCAGTAGTGCCATAGCGATCTCGAACAGAAGGATCGCGGGTTCGAATCCCGCCTCGAGCATGATTGCATTGTGTTCGTCCTTTCACCCCCTATTATCACCATCGCGTCATCCTAACAGTTACCATACCGTTACAAGCAATAGTGGTCGCTAATGACCTAGAAGTTGATGCGACCTTAAATAACTAAAAAAAGAATACAATACCAGCTTAGTCACTTGCACAATGAATTAAGTTCTCTTCAATTGATAAAATTCTCAATATTCAATCTTTTTATTTATAAGTAAAACTCTAATTCTTGTCATTCTAAACTCTGAAGTTGATATCTAAAGCCTTTTCCTTAATAACATTGATAACTAAAGACAGTTACCTTACTGAACATATAAATAAGACAGGGCTCTCCACAGACCAAATGCATGAAAGACAAGGAACAAATATCCATTTCAAGGAAAAAATTAGTAGTCTTGCTCAAAACAGCTAAAGCTCAACCCACCTCCTCTATCAAAGCTGTCAATGAAATGAAATACACAAGTAAAACTGTTTATATTCTCATTTGATTATATCTGCACTGAATAAACAAGTTAATGATATCTAGAGAATGTCGATGTGGTTTATTGTTGACATAATTACTTCATGAAATAATGGAAGTGACCTCCATTAACTTTACAGATTTACTTAGAGAGCCAGCTTTTGACGGTTTTGCAATCATCATCAGCCTTGCTGTGTGTGGCAGTTGGGAGACTTCACTGACAACAGAGGGCACATTATCCCATTGGAAGCTGGCTTTCTAAATGAATCTATTAAGTTGACGGAGACGACTTCCATTTCATCATCAAGTTTAAGACACAAACATAATGGTCAGCTATTTAATGATTTGATATCAATTTCTTTACAGTGTGTCTGTTAACTTCATTAACAAAAACTCTTCTGAAACGTCATCATTACTTGAGTAAGGAAATCTGTATAAGACAAATAGAAAAAAAGGACACTTTTCATATGCATTTACCATAACGGTACAAAAAAGTTAAAAGTAACAATGTTTAGTAAATGAAAACAGGGAACAATTCTTGCCTGAGCAGAGAAAACTAAAGTTACATGTCAATTAATAAAAATATTGAATATTTCAGATGAAATAATTATCACTACAGGTGATATACAATATATAAATTAAGGTATTAATATTTATTATTAGGAGAGAGAGAGTTCAAAGGAGCATTATATTGTTCTATATTTCCCAATGACACAGCCCACCCACTAAACTCTCATACTTCTATTCCGTGATTCTATGGTGAATTTCAAAACCAGCACATGCAAATGATTTAACTGTAGCTCATTTTTATCAATGACATAATAATGATTATTTTCATTGCTAGAAAAAGTTAATTTTAATACCAGTTATATTTTATTTTTTATATTATTATTATTACTACTACTGTTAAATTACAAGTGACACTAATTATGACTATTACATATATATTAAAATAGCAATAACAAATATTTAACTCGGCCGTGTCTGCCACAACACCATTGGAAACTATGAAAATATTTAATTGGATTTTTAGAGAGATGCAAATTGATATTTTACAGCATATAAAGTAAACTTATGGCTTTGGAAAAATTTTATTGGTATTATATGTTAAAAAATTGTAGAGAACCTGGTAAGTCATTGGATTTATCAGAATCCAGGCACTATTTGATGAATTAAAAATTAACTTATTTTCTCTCTTTTGCCCCTCATGAATATTCTGTCAATGCCAAGTATCAAAATATAGTGTAATGTAAAAGCAAGTACTCTACGTTTTTTTTAAATAACACTAAATCAGAACATGAAGAAATGAAAATAAAGGTTAAAAAAAAAAAAAATTTAAGTATTCATTCTTGTTAATTGTAAGAAACAATCAAGCAAAAAAACAACCGACAACAACATAAGAAATTCATTCCACGCTTCATTCCCCAAACGGAGTTTACACATAATATTTCATCATTATTTTTATAAAGACCTTGAATCTCACACTGCAAATTCAAAGTAACAAACCTATTTCGTAAGCAAATGTACGCAAGTTTTCTACAACCCGGAAACGAAAATGTTTATTTTTTCAAATATTGCTAATCTTGTGATTTTTAAAATTTATTTTTGTTAAACTTTTACTCATCTTTCAACTATTTAGAGTTAAAATAATGGGAAGGGATTCTGGAACTCAAAATCTGTGCAGATAATCTTCTCCCCCATACATTTATTTGACTAAATAAATCCAAATCTTAGAAAAAAAATCCTCTTCCAAATAACCATCTCTCTAATCTAAAGAAAAACCTTGAACCCATCGGAAGATAATTCTTAATCTTACTTTTCTTATGCAAATAATTACATTTTAAACAATAAAATATTACAATTATTGACACAGTACATTAACAATTTGCAGGACTTCAAAGAAATAGATCACTTTCCTATCACGGTAGGTAAATTGATATTATGCAAATCCCTTGGAATATATCTCAAATGAAAAATAGGGAACAAAAGTCACATGTAAATAGACAATCAACTCCAAAAA